CCTTTATGGTTGGAGGATAGGCCTAGAACCCTTAGGCCGAGGGATGCTCTGAAGACATTTTCACTAGGGAAGCTAGATTATATTAAGCAAATAACTTATATAGGGACATTTTGCTTAGCACTGCTGTCTACATAGTTCAAGAGAGTAATTCAGGAATAAGGAAGGAATGATATGGATGCATCATGTTAAGAAGTAATTTGTATTTTTTGAGTTTTAAAACTGAAAATGGTTTTATGTATTTTAGGTCAACCTGGAAACTAGTATTATTCCTCTCCTCTTCATTTTAGATCCAAGTGAAGGCAGTGCATAGAAGAGCAAACAAACCAAAATATGTGAATTAGAGTCACAGAATGTTAGAGCTACAAAAGGACATTAGTTTCTCTAGTTCAGTGCCATCTTTAGCCAGTGAAAAAATGGGCCCTGAAAGGTTGAGAAACCGATGGTGTTGGGAGGAAGAAGGGAGAGAACCGGAACTAACATTGTCAGGAACCTACAATGTGTCAGGCACTCTGCTTTGCTTTTATTGTCTTGATTCTTAAGCAGCTTAAGGCTAAAGGATGGAAAGAATAAAGGGCAAATCCCTCTTATTGTCTTGAGCAATATGTAGGAGATAAAGGGGAGTGACAGATCACTTTTTCTAGTCTAACCACACAGGGCTAAACTAGAGGAAGTGAAGAGTCAGCATTTGAGAGTGAGGTTAATCTAAGGAAGTACTCGCTAAATAGTTGAGACTCTTGAATTACTTCTCTATTCCTAGAGACCTTCCAATACTGTGATGGTCAGAGGCAGGCTAGAGGCAGGCCTCGTAGGGAACAAGATTACTGTTGGCTCTGGGATTGATTTGCATTCTAGAAAATCAGGTCATGACCTGAGAGTATAGGATTAATCTTAGAAATAGGGAACAAAATGGGGCTTCTCATCCTAAGGGATTTTCAAAGAAAATAGTGTTTATATACTATGAATCAAGGAGATAAACAAATTCTTTTGGTGACCGTGCTTGTTTTGGGGGGGTTTTGTTTTTAACACACTTTGAAGTCATGAAACAATTTGTAATTTTGGAAAGACTTGGTGCCAAGTTCAATGTTGGTAGAGGCAGGTGGCAGCCTGAAAACTGACGGAATAAGATTGTATTCCTTGTAGTTGATCAGTATCATTGATCAGTAATGATCAATATCATTAGCTGAGTCATGTCCTAATACAGGGTAACTTCTGGGGAAGATTAGGGGAGGACCCACCTTTAGGAAGCTTCTGGGTCTAGTGAGAGATGAGTCTTAAACCTGGGTGGGAAACGGGAAATCAGTATTTACAAGTCAGCACATTAATGCAGGTTATAAAATAAAATAGTAACCTAGTACAGAGGGAGCCAAAGCAAAGGAATAATCAGAAAAATTGGAGTTAACCAGGAAAGATTCTTTGAAGGTAATGAAGATAGAGAGCATGGAACAGAATAGAGGAAGGTGATCAGAGGGAGAAAACTTACGGAAGAAGGTTTATGTGTTTTTTGCAGAGGGCTGTGAATGGGCTAGTCAGGGTGGTACGGGAAAGCAATATTAGGAAATGAAGTTGGAGGAGCAATCTTGTTGGCCTGAATGAGGAATTTGAATTTGATTCGGTAAGCAGTAACAGGGAGCAGAGCATGATGGGATGAATATGATGTTGAGAACTTTTGCAGCTATACTGGGTCAAGGAAACAGGAAAGCTTGCTAGGATATTATTGTTCTTGTCCATATGTGAGGCCCTGGGGGCCTGCACTAGAGTAGGACAAGGGGAATGAGAAGAAAGGAGGTCCTTAGGAATTAGCAAGGCTTGGTGATAGTTTGGGTGTGAGGAGAGGGACAAAAGCCTGAAGATGACGACCCCAGGACATATCTATGCTGTTGATGGTGATGAGAGCTTGGAAAGAGGTAGCTGCTTTGTTTTTAAGAAGTAGGAAATGTTTGCTTTATTAACTGCTTGATGGGGTGTGTCTCTGTTCGGTATTGCAGAGTCTAAGAGGGTGCACTGCCCCTGGAAAATAGTGGAGCACGTGCTGTGTGCCCAGATGATCATTTGCATTCTGCCCTTTTCAGGTTGGAGAACCAGGTGAAAGAGAGTTTATTGCTGGGGTGTGCCTGCAGGCTTGAAGAATGCTGTCCCACTCTGGATCTGGGAAAGAAGTTTTTTGCCAGTTTCTTCCCCTTTAATGCTTTGAAAATGGGATATGACTAGCCTGTGGCAGCATGTGCCTGTGGATGCACAATTCTCTGGCTTGATTCTTGGAAGGCCTTTTTCTGTACCTCCCTGGGGGTCATTTGTATCTCTGGTTCCTGCTCCCAGAGCCATAAAGTGGGAGCCCCCATTTATTAATTGGGTTGGGACTGGGGAGGAGGTCGGCGGGGGACTCTTTAGTGCGGCATGCGGGGGTCTTCCCGAATGAGCCCATTAGCCAGCCCCAGTAGCAGCTGAAACGGGGCTGCAGCCAAGTCCTCTCTGTTTCAAAAACCCTCCATCGCCTGCAGCAGATCAGAACAAGGCCTGCGGGAGCCCTTAGCTTCTGATTGCAGCTGTGAGGAAGGACAAAACAATTTATAGGAAGCCAAGTAGCTCCTGTCTCACTGTCTCTTTCTTTCTGACTTTGAGGAGGGGGGAGAGTAGGGTGTAGTGTCCCCTCCCACCATAGCTGCTTACAAGTCATGTATAGGCCTCAAGTAGGAGAGAACACGATGAGTATGTATGTGCATTGATTGGACACTTACGTTGATGCTCTGGGTGTGTTTACACATGTCCTTACTTTCTTCTTCCATTCACACACAGTTGTATTGGATAAGCAGCCACTACTTATGCGGGGCTCTCTAGGGCAAAGCCAACTGTATGCTCAGACTCTTAAACAGTCTAAGGTGTGTGTTGGGGGTGCATATCAGTTGCTTATCATACTCTTTCCTGCCCCATATCTGCCTTGTCTCCTATCTGCTTTATCAAGATTCAGCGTTAGAGTTAGATCACCTTCTTAATATCTTTTCTTCATGATAGAAGGAGTTTGGAACCTAAAGGAAGGCCTCCTACTAGGACTCACTTGTTTGTCCTTTTAGTTAGGCCGGTGTGAGAAAGGCAGGCATCTACAGGGATGCTTCTTTCTGCAGTGGCCCAGAGAGGTGTGAAGGGCAGGAAAGTCTCACTTCTGATGGAAAGGCACTTGTCTCTTCTCCCTTTATAGAATCATAGGTGGTCAAAGCTAGAAAGGGACCCTAGAGATCACCTAATTCAACCTCTTAGTTTACAGAGCAGGAAACCAAGGCTTAGGGAAGCGAAATGCCTTGCCCACAGTCTCACAGTGAGTGAGTTAGTGGCCGCCAGCCAAGACTAGACTCCAAGAGGCCAGAATCTTAACTTTCATGAGTATAGGGCCCCTAACTTTAAGATCACCAACTCCTAAGAGCCCTGGGCTTCCTCAGGAAAGGAAGGTAAGGCTGTGAGATTTTGAGGGGGGAGGGACAGATTGAGGGGGAAAAGGAGATTTAAAAACCGTTAGTAGAAAAACTGAGAAGCTTTATATATTTTTACTTCAATCACATGCAAATTGTACAAGTCTAATTTTTATTTAGAGTCAAGAGCTCTGGTTCATCAGGAAGCAAGTGGCAGCCACTGCCAAAGATCCTGATGCCCTCAGAGTTACCACAAAGTTCAAGGAGCACTTTGACACCATCTCTGGGGGTTGGATAGCAGGAAAAGATCCTAGAGGCAATGTGAGGAATTTACCCTAAATCTCAACTCGGGCTCCTTTGCATTACAATACAGCTATATTGAAAAGCAAAATCAGAAGGAAGGGAGAAAGAAAACACATCTCATCTGCTGGGAAACTGAGAGGAATCTCTTAATTAGAGAAGGGATTATAGAACTCGGAGTAAAATGAGATATTCTCTGAGATTACAGGAAATTGGCGTGGGGAGGAGGGAACCCTCTACTTCTCTTCCTGTTTTTTTAGTTTTGAGTTGTTGTTTTTCTCCTTTGATGAGGCAGAAGGAAGGTGGTTATGGTGTTCCACAGAGACCTAAGCTTTAAATAGTGTGTTCAATAAGCTGACATGCCCATTCTGAAGTCATCTCACTCTGGTGCTGAGACTCCCTTCCCCTCTTTGGACCTTTCTCAGATGTATCTGCAGTCCCTTCTAATGCTTATTTTCTACACATATGAGTCTGAGAGCCACTGATGAGCAGAAGGGGAATGCTGAAGAGTCCCTAAGCTGGAAGCAGAATCTTGGAGGAAGAAAGGCACCACTGGGCAGCTTAGAGAAAAAGTTATAGGTCTAGGTCAGAGGGGCAAGGGATCTGCAAAATGAGCATTTTCTGCTGATGACAAAGAAATAGATTTCAATACATATCCTTTACATTTTCTCCATCTCACCCTAATTGATAGCATAGGGAGAATGTGGAGTTGGTACCCATACAAATTCATCCCTACCTAGGGAATGTGTGATAAGACCTACTTGCCCAAATTGCGTCGTCTGCTGTCCCTCAAACTTCCATTCTGTTTCATAGGACCTTTTTTTTTGCCTCAAGCCCTTCTTGAAGAAGTTGTTTTGGACAAGAGAGCCTCGAATACAAGCTGATGATCTGATCTAAAACTAGATGGCCTCCTCTGAGTCACCTTCTTGCATTAACTTGGCATTAACTTTGAACCTTCATTACCCTTTATAATTTTGGGTGTCACAGCTTCTATTTCTGTTGAATTTCTAACTTACCTCTTAAGTGTAGGAACCATGGTTTTTATTTTATCAGATTGGAGCTGGTTCCCTGGAGGTAGGAATCTTAGAACAGTTACAGCTCTCTCTGGAAGCATACCTAAGGTTCATCTGAATCCTTCTGGGCTTCATGAATTCAGGTTTGAGGGAATTGGAAGAGTGGTGACTGTCACTATCACTGTTACCTATCAAGGCCATGCTTCCTGGGTGAAAGACCAAAAGTCCTGTTTGGTGTCTAGTCCCTTGTCTCATGTCTAATGTAACCTGTCATTTTCCTTTACAGGTGACAGCAGCAGCAGGAGGGATGGCCTCTGAGGAATTTGGTGATGTCCATCAGCCACCTGGCATCCAGAGCCCTGGCAAGTTCACTCTTTCACAGACTCTAAAGCCAGGTAGGGACCTAAGGCTAATTAGATACCTCTGGCCTGCTTCTGTAAGGATAAACACACACACACACTTGCACACACACACACACACACACAGTCTCAGAGAAGTTTCTTATTCCCAAAGATCTCCAGAGGAGTTTTCTTAGCTTTTTATTTGACCCCATTATGGTGTTCTAACTTTTGATTAACAATTTCTCCCTCCTTGCTAGAGTGGGTAACCCCCTTTATTGGCATTGGTGGTCATTTCATTCTTGTTCTTTCCTCTTGGCCAGCTGTGCTAATGGACATTCCTCTACGGTGGGATGCTGATGTCGATTACTCTCAGCCTGTTCTCTAGAGCACGTGCCCCACTCACCCACCACCTCATACACACACAGAGCCCTGCCTTCTTCTTCCCCAAGAAGCTATTTTCTCTCCTTTTCTTTTGAGTCAGGATAGGGCAGTGCTATCAGCTTCTCCACCTCCTTTCCAGGTTTGATGGGAGATCCCATCTGTCCAAACACTATGCAAGACACCAGAAGTAGAAGCTTACAAGCCTGCTTCTCTCCATCCTCAGTGCCTAGAATCAGGCAGGTCACCAGCCTTCAGTGCCTGGCCCCACTCTTCTTGTTGCCAGGTAGGTATGCTCCTCTCCCTACCCACCAACCCCTAACAGGGGTCATATTTCTCTCTGGGAGTATTTCTCTGTTGTTAAATATCTCCAACAAGGGGAAGGCCTTGGTGGCTCAGCTCTCTGCCTTGGTGACTTCCAGCCCTAATCTTCAGCAAGAGAGACCTCCCTTATGTCAAATTTCCATCCCCTCTCTATAATTCAGAACCATTTCCCCCATTTAGTGGGTGTGGGAAGAAGGGACGAGTGAACAGATAGTATTTAACACTGGAGGGGAAGGGTCTAATGACAGGCAGCCTTTCGCTTGGGGCTAGAAGTCTGAAGCCCCAGATGTGCATTCTGTCCAATGGCCTGGCATCCTTAGAGAGTACCTGGATGTTTTGAGGGAAAGGTGTTTTATCTGGTGTCCATTCTCGAGGACAGGGATTTCAGGCTCTGAGAGTCTGTCCCTGTTTATTCCCAGACCCCCAGGAAGTGGAGAATGTATTGCCGTAGGGCAGAACCCACCATGAGGTGGTACTCTGTCTCGAGCTTAGATGACAGCTCTTCTCTGGCACCTGTAGAGATTTGGCTGGGGTGCCAGAGCCTCTCCTGCCATTGGAGGTGACATCAGCTTACCCTTATGACGTTAGGCCTCCTCTCTCAGCAGTGCCTCTCTCACTCGTGCAATCCAGACAGCACAAGCACCAGGCCTAAATAAGTGCCAGCTCTGGGTAAGGTGCTCCCTTCCCCTGGTAGGTATATACCTTGAGTTGGAGTTAGGATGGGGTGGATGGAGGGATAGGACAGGTGTTAGAAAACAGAAATGTCCCTGGAAGTGGTTGAGCAGTAGGTATGCATGTGGTATCTTGATGGCGCAGAGAGCACCAACGTTTATAACCCTGCCTACCTGCCTGTCAACCTGGATGTCTGATTCCTCAAAGCAGCTGGCCTACTTAGGCAGCTGCAGTCTTGGTTTCTGCCACACGAGGGTGCTGCTGACCAATTAAAACTCCTGCCCCTTAGCAGACAGAGTTTGGGCATGGAGGGCACCCTTTCCCTAAGATAGGGGTCATAAACACTCCAAGAGAGCTTAAGAGCTGGGGCCCAAAAATCCAGAAGAGTACTTAGCACCATTTATTCTTCCTTAAAAATGGCCTGAGACTCTGAAGACTCTGCCCTAGTGGCCTGATAATCTCAGTATGTTCCCAGCTGAACTTGGGAAGCCCCCTAGCTCTAGGCACCAAACATCTTGCACAGGTGCTTCTCTCTCTCAAGTTGTAGCAGGTTCCAACTGTCCACCGCACTATCTCCCTGCTTCCAAGACAGTCACTTTAGAGCTCTGAGGGTGGGGGTACCTGTGGTTTTCAGAGAAAACATCTCTTACAATGTACAAATCTCAAAAATCTCTTACTTCGCTTAAAAGTATCTTTGTTAGTGAGAGAGTGTTGGAGAGAGGACAGAGAAGAGGGAGAGTGGCAAAGTTCAGCCTTCTATGCCCCCATTACCTCCCCCAGCATCAACCTGCAGAGCTCAAGACAGTCTAGTGGATGTTTGCAGCCTGAGTGGCTGGAGGACACCCCAGGACTCTGAGCCAAAAAAAAAGATGTCAGAAAGCAGAATGGGGAACAAGGCTTCTTTGGCCCATGGGCCTCATACTGACCTCATACCCGTGTAATGGCTCTGCCAGAGATCCAAGTGGCCATGGGGCCCTTATGGAGATGAGATATCCCACAACTGATCCTCAGTCTTCATGAAGCCCTTCCAGGCTGAACAGGCTACGGGAGATGACAGAGATTCTCCTCCTCCCTCCAACCCCCATGCCCGAGGGCCCCTCCCCAGGAGGACAGCTTGATTAAACAGTCGGTGCTGCTGGAATTACTGCACAGCTGGCACTACCCCCAGCACCCTGAGCAGAGCAGCAGCACAGATTAAAATCTCCAATTAGCGTTAAAGTGAAGTGAGGAGGTATTGAGGCTGCCAAGGAGACCAGGCGGGAGCCCTGGGTTGGCGAATCCCCCCACTCCTGCCTAGAGTCTGTGAGCACCCTTGGTCACCTCTTCTTTCCAGCTCCTCTCCCAACAGCTCTCAGTACCCATTCGCTTTACATTGCTTGGGGCCAGAGGGCTTTACAAGGGGCGGGGGGAGGCGGGTCAGATGCCTTACCTGACAAAATGCTGGGGACACCATAAGTGTGGAGGAGAATGAGCGTAATCAGTGCTCTTCAAGGGAGATGCCCTACTCACAGCCTACCAGGCATCCAGGTTGAGGCGACTTCACACTACTGCTGTTTCTTTTTGCCTAGAGAAAGGGGAAAAACAGGACAGGTCCTTCCAGACCCTCTTACCTATAAGATGCTAAGGGATGTAGTGCCTACACAAACATCTATCCTTGTATATTTTATCCTATCTGACCCATCTGTTCCCACCCAAATTATGGCTCCTTCCTTCCTCTTTCTCTCCCTTCTTTTCTTAGCTTTCCTGTGGGCAGGGGTAGGCACAGTCTGGCTTGGGAGCATCACCGTGCCCTGCCACCTGGGTCCCAGCCAGCCCCTCTTTATCTTCTTTGCAGTTTAGGGAAGAGCAGGGATATGCAAAGAATGGAGGCCTCAGACTCTCCCAACCCCTGAACATCACACCCCCTCCTAAGGGCCCTCTACCATTTACAGTTCTGCCCTTCACCCATCAAGCCCAGAAGGAGGGCAGCACAACTAGCCACGCCCTAGGATTTCCCTCTGCCCCTTTAAGGGAAATGGAGGTAGGTACCCAGCTGACTGAACCTACTCACACCTCCAGAAATTAGACACCAGGGCACAGTGCCACCCTCCCAGGCTGGCACATGTTACCCTGGCAGAGGTTCAAATAGTCCTCCCCTCTACATCCCCACCCCATGTCTTCCTCTTCTCTCTCCCTCTTTCTTCCTGTCTGTCTCTCTTTTTTTTTCTCAGCTCAAAGCACAGCTGAGCCTGAAAAGGGCGGGGGCTGGGGGGAGGACCAAGCTGGGGCAGGGGGGTGGAGAGCTCCAATAGCACGTTTTCACCTGCCATTTAATTGGATGTATTTTTAATTAATGGGACCTCAGGGACCAACATGAGACAATCTGATCTCTGAATAGGGACAGGGGAGGGATTGGGTAAGGGAGGAGGATTGGGCCACTGGGTGCGGTTACCGGGAACCCAGGCCCATCAATCACTGGCCACTTTGCGTTCTGGCATGGAGAATAGTGAGGTGGAGGAGGAGGGGAGGCACTGGGGCGAGGTGCCAGGATTTACCCCCAACTGCTAAGACCTCCAAAAAGGATGGAACTGTACTGGTTGACTCAGGTCTGGGGCCCAAAAGTGCAGCCAGAATATTAGGTAAGGCTGTTTTCTTGCTCCTAGGGTTTTGTCCAGTTGGGCTTGTCCCAGTGAGTGCTGTAAAAATGTGAAAGGAAGGTGGGGACAGAGCATTGAGGTCCTTGAAGAGAGAGGACAAGAGCTAGGGACCATAGAACCAGAGACACTGTGGTGAGAGGGAAGAGAAGGGCAGAGTTCAGAAATATTTCTCTACATTTAGACATAAAATAAGTGCCATCAAGATTACATGCAGAACGGCATACAAATGAGGCCTGGTGCCTTTTGGGTATGAATCATAAAACCTTGCTGTTTCAAGGAAGAGAACTTGGAGTTCATCTTGCCGAACCCTTCATTTTACAGATGTGGAAATGGAGACCCAGAGAGGGGAAGTCAGTTGAATCCTGTCCTGGAGCTGCTGTGTGTTTCTGGATTTGAAGAGTTCCTGGGAACACAGGGAAAGGTAGGTAGGTAGGGTGTGGGAGGAAAGTCAGGGGAAGAGGGTCAGTAGGATATTATTCTCTATTGTGTCTCTGGCCCCTGAGTCTTGGAAGCAACTCAGAGGAGTCAGGCAGGTGCATTATTAGGGGGACTTTTCCCTCATACAGCCTGTTCCAGGGGTCATCTCATTTATTCCCTTGCTTCTAAGCAGGCAGATCCCCCACAGCCGCCCCCCCCTCCCTTGGGATTCTACCATATTCTATAAGGTCCACAGGAAGGGAAATGCACCAACTACCCCAGTTCCTTAACCAAGAAATAAATCCCTCAATGATGACTAAATATTAAGCTTTTTTTGAGATCTTATCACAAGTTTCCCTGCCACAATATAAGCTGCTAGAGAAAATTATGCCAAAAAATGTAGCAAGGAGTGGTCTTTTACCTCTTATCCCATGTCTAAGCCAAGAACAGAGACAGAATGAAACTCAAGGCACTGAATGCTGAGTCAGAAATGCCCCTTTATTCATGTGGTGCCACGGCCCCAGAACTCTAGTCAGGCCCCATCTGGCTCTGTGTGGTGTTAGTGCACACTGGAGAGAAGGGCATGTTTCCAGCTGTCCCCATCCCCACCTTCCTGCTTGCTTCACTGTTCAGACACTAGGGTTAAGGAGGGAAAGAATGAAGGAAAAGAGTAGCTTTCTCACCAGGTTGCCAAAGGTGGCATTTCCTGGCATCTTCTCCCTTCCTCAAAAATTTTAACATTTTTTTTCTATATTTCATGAGATTAAGTTGAGATCAGGGCAAGGATGAACACAGAGCTTGGAAAGCAGTGTGGGTAGAAACTTTGTTACACTCTCCAAGCCCCCAACACCTTTCCCCTACTCCCAGAATTGTCTGCTCCTCTATCTTAGTACCCCTGAGGTTTTTTTTTTGTTTTGTTTTTTTGCTGAGGAAGATTTGCCCTGAGCTAACATCTCTTGCCACTCTTTCTCTTTTTGCTTGAGAAATATTTTCCCTGAGCTAATATCTGTGCCAATCTTCCTCTATTTTGTATGTGAGGCATCGCCACAGCATGGCCACTGACAGACAAGTGGTGTACGTCTGCTCCTGGGAACCAAACCCAGACCGCCGAAGTGGAGTGCACTAAATATAACCACTAGTCCACAGGGCCAACCCCTTAGTACCCCTGTTTTATATCCCCAGAAGCCCTAGGGAAGAGCAGGATATGCCTCTCTAAGTGCCCCCAGCCTCAACCTGCCCTGTCCTTAGACCCTCAGGGTCATCTCCTTGGCTGTCTGATTCTCTGACACCTTTACTGCCAACAAGATGAAAAGGGCTTCCTTGCATTCCCCCAAGACAGTCTGGAAAGAATTCATCTAGCTCCCCACCCTGCTTCCAAGGGCCTACAGGGGTAAGGGTAATAGAGGAGAACTGTGCCAGGTAGTTGAAAAGGAAGATTCTCTTGTCAAGGGAGGTCAGGAGAAGCCTGAAAGTGGGGAGCAGATAGGAGAAATTTGGGAACTGAGGCCTGTGACTGGCTGCCTAACATAGGGCAGGCCGTTCATATTGAGTATTGTTTGGGGGATTTATTAGATGGCTCCTGTTTATAGAGCTGCTGTTTCTCCTCTGAAACACAGAGCAGTGGAGAAGAGCATGCAGTGAAGAAGAAGGAGACAGGGTGTCAGGCTTTCTTTAGGCCCTCTTTTTCACCCCTTGTCCACCCCTACTCCAACAATGGAGGTATATTGGAGGGGCAAAAAGGCCCTTAAAGCATTTAATCTAGATTATGGATGTTTCTCTAAGGAACAGGGCCTCTCTTCCCCCAATCCCCACCAGCCCTGCCTCACACTTCAAAGGTATGTGGCACACTCTAAAAGTGCCGGATCTGCTGCCCTGGAGTCAGAGCCTGGAGCTTGCTCTGGAGTCCAGAAGAAACCCTGAGCCTTTGCAGGGAAAGAGGGATAGACTTAAAGTAAGTGGAAGGCAGAGGTAGCAGTACCCAGAATCCTCTGCACTCTGGAGAAAAGGGAATCGTTCAGGAGCTCAGTATTGGCCCAGGGTTTAGCTTTTACTCTGACGAGACCCCTTTCCTCTTTCTCTCTCAGTGTGTCCCACTGGTTGGTGAGAGATCCAGATGTCTGCACCTCCTATTTTAACACCTTGAAGGTTGTCATGCAGATCCCCTCTCTAGCTCCCAAAGCCATGAAGGAAGGGAAGAAAGCATCTCAGAGGTGGCAGTGTCATGATGGCCATGAGCACCCAGGAGAGAGGCCAAGGAGAAGAAACATTGACCAGAGAGGGAACCAGGAGGAGATGCCTGCTCCTGAACCAGCCTCTTTACCTAATCCTCTCCCACGCCCCCTCTCACATGCCGACAATGCTGTGTGCCCAAGTGCCAGCTCTCCTGGCTGGTGATCCTGCTCTGCCATGCAAGCAGCCGGCTTTCTGCTCCAGCACAGAGCACATGATGGGGTCTCTTGCACTCCTTTGATCACTCATCTCAATGTGTCTGTGTTGCAGATTCCTAGAGATGAAGGAGGGAGCTCTGGCCCTGCGAATAGGAAGATGGTGGGCTCCGGCGCCCTTTGGGTACATATCTGCCTGGCTGGAGGAGGGGGGAGGAAGAAGGCTGCTGGCAGCTCACTTGAGCTCAAGATTCTGATGACTCATAGCAATGGGGGCGGCTCATGAAAACAACAGAGAAGAAGGGGGTCCAGGCCTGTTAGACCTCTCTTTTACCCTATTTCTCCCCGACTCTCAGCTCTGTGGACAAAGGTCTCTCATCTGGATTGTTGAGCAAGAAAAGGCCCTAGAAAGAAGAGAGGGAAATGGGAGAGGAGAGAGCAAGAAAAGCTGAGCGTACCTAGTGAGAGACTTCCCAGTAAGGAAAGAATAGGAGAGGCCAGTTATTCTTGCCTTACTGTATCCATTGGCTGCACAGAGTGTACTGGGCATCCACATGTGCTGGGGCAGTTCAGCACTCCTGGGCACCTTCCAGAAGAGGAGCTTTCCAGGCAGACACAGCTACTCTTCCCTGCCCTCACTACTTGTCCAGAGCTCTAGGTACCCAGCTGACACCACATGACTTAGGAATTTTTTTTTCAAAAAAGCACTGTTCCAAGAACCAGGAAGGATTACACTTGGTCTCGGGACTCTCTTCCCTGGAAACAGACGTCATAGATCTCCAAAGTTGCTGATTTCCTCTTCCCTTACAGGCCAAGTTGGCAATGTTCATTTTCTCTATCCTTTCTGAATTAGGGGGATGATAGGATACTGTGTTTGAGATCACACCAACAGAAAGGGACCAGAAGGTGGACCAGGAGAACCATTCATGCCTCCAACCACAGGACCAGGTGCCTCCTTGTTTCAGCAAAGGGAAGCAGCAATCTTGGATACCAATGTATCCAGATACGTAATAATAAATACCCTTGCTCTAACCTCAGAGAAGGATTTGCTAAGAGGAGGGGAGTTCTCTGACAGCCTGAATTTTCATTTGCCTGTTTGTATTCCTTTCGTTACTGTTGGCTCTGCTCTCCAGCTGGGGTGAGCGTCCCTCTGCTCCTGGAGATCCAGAGACAATTTTGATTGGAGAAAGGACAGACCAACCACTCTTCATGTAGAGAGATGGGACCCGCTCCACTCTCCCAGCTCTCCCTGGCAGCATCAGGAGCCCAAGGGCCCTTGCTGGAACACCGATAATAAAGCTCAGTCCTGAACTGAACCAACACATTACCTGGCTCTTGTATAAGTGGTGCTATGAGAGGGATCCTGGGTGCACCCAGGTGGGGTGTAGGCAGATGTGGGGACTTCAGCCCCAGAGGAGAGAGAAGAATCACTCCTTGGTACCACATGCTCCTCCTCTTTCTCAAACCTTCTCCTCGGTCCCTCTTTTACCTCCCTTCAGCCAACTCCACTCCTGGCCACCTTATCCCCTCCAATCTGAGAAGACATGGTAAGTAGTTGTCTGTTCCTACACTTTTCTCTCTCTCACTCTCCTCCTCTCCTCCCAGTTCCCAGCCAAGAGTTATCCCATTTGAACTCTTTCCACCAGTGAATGCCATCAGGATCTGAACCTAGAATCCCCAGCCTCTGCCACCCCTCTGACTCTGAGAATGCCTCTCTGACTCTGAGACTGACTCATCAGTCCTCACAAATATAGCCAGGCCAAGGCTGGTATGTCCACTGGCACCAAGGGCCCTGACCTGAAGCAGAGGGCAGCGCTAGGGGTGCAGTGAGGCCTGGCCCTAAATGCGTGTATGTCTGTGCATTGGGCACGCTGGTTTATTAGTGTTATTTCAGCATTGTGATGCAGAGAGAGTAAGTGTAACAGCTGCTCCTTGCTTGCAGTGTTTATTGTTACCTAGAGACAACCTCCTGGCTTTTTCCCAGCTCCCCCTCCCCCCCAGCCCAACCCCCTCCCTGCCAACAGTCCTACTCTCCACACACTGATGGGAAATTTATAGCTTGCCCATACCATGCCTTTAACCCTCTCCTATCTATAGGATAGGTGGGGCGAGGGAAGCCAAAGTGAGCAGTGGGCATGCTTGGGCCCCAGCAGGGTAGAATAGTGTATGGAGGAGAGAGGGAGGGACGGAGGGAGGGAGGGAGGGAGAAGACACCTCCCCTCCACAATCTGTGTGTCCAGACTCAGGTCCCAGTTGCCCTCCTGGATCTCATGTTGAGAGAAAAGAGCTTTGGACCTAGCCTTGGGATCCCAGCATCCTCCTCACAAGATTATTCTCTTCCCTGGGCATCTCTGAGCCCCCTAGTTGGGCTGCCGGTCCTGGGCAAGTACATCGAGATAGTATTGAAGAAGAGAAGTAAATACAGAGTGGCAGAACCCCCAGCCCGCTCCTTTCTATAGAGATGTCATATTGAGACAAAAAAGAGGTTGTGGCATGAGGGGTGCTAGCCAGATCTGTACAGCATGTCAAACATGAAGCTGGCTGCTGAGCCTAGTGGGAAAAACTTAACTTCACTCTGAGCCCAAAATTAAGGTCCTGAGAGAGTCCCAGGCCGTCCTCCAAGCTGATCTTGGTCTGGTTAGGCTATTCCTTTCTGCTTTTCTTCCTGGTCCATTTTCTCCTGCTAATCTTTTGGTTTGATACCTTGGGGCAGATCCAAGAGACCAAGGGGACTGAGGCATCCTAGTCATGGTCTCAACAGAACTCAGGAGAACTGGGGAAGCTCCTCTATCCGCTCCTAACCTAGGACCTTTCATGGAGGGGTACCATGTCATATTCACCATCCCCACTGGAAACGAGAGGAAAAGGGATCGGATTTTAGCAGAAAGGATAGAGGTTGGACATATGAAAAAACTTACTCATGTGCTGTAAGACTTCAGAATGGGCTGGCTTCTCTTCAGAGATTTTTTGTGTGTGTGAGGAAGATCAGCCCTGAGCTAACATCCATGCCAATCCTCCTCTTTTTGCCGAGGAAGACCGGCCCTGAGCTAACATCTATTGCCAATCCTCCTCCTTTTTTTTTTCCCCCCTTTTCCTTTTTCTCCCCAAAGCCCCAGTAGATAGTTGTATGTCATAGTTGCACATCCTTCTAGTTGCTGTATGTGGGATGCCGCCTCAGCATGGCCGGATAAGCGGTGCGTCAGTGCGCACCCGGGATCCGAACCTGGGCCGCCAGTAGCGGAGCGTGTGCACTTAACCGCTAAGCCACGGGGCCAGCCCCTCTTCAGAGATTTTTCTTCTGCCTAGGATGGGTTTAAGTCTGTGCCTACCCAAGGCGCATTGGAAAAACAGGGTTACTTTTTTGGGGCTCCTCCAAATTAGGCCTCCGTGCAGTTTCCACACAGTGCACTGCCTCAGGCCTTCTAAATCTACTATGTGTGGTGTACTATGTGTGGTGGTTAGATCGCAAGTTTTGGAGGCACACAGCCTTGGGTTCTAGTGCCAGCACTGCCATTCACCAGCTGTGCTACCTTGGTAAGTCACTTAATCTTTTTGAGCCCTAGTTTCCTTGTCTGTGAAATGCAGATAAACAATCTCTTAAGGTTGTAGAGAGAATTGAGTGAAATAATGTGTGTAAAACACCTAGGACAGTGCCTGATACTCAGTAGGTGCTGAATCAATGGTTGATGCAATAGAGTCTATTACTTTTATGGAGTTGGCAGGGCTGACATTGCTTCAAAGACTCCATTAGTCCCCTGAAATTGTAGGCCAAATATGTGTATGTGCATATACTGGGGAAAATGTCTATGGTTTTCTTCGTGGAGCAGGGGGTGGAAGTCTCCTGGAAAGGAAGTAGCCCCGATCTCTTGACTCAGACTGCCCAAGAAGTCAATTCCCTCATTTCCCTGCCTTTCAAGCCAGAAGTACCTTAGGCAGTGTTCCACCTGGAAGTACAGCTTCATCTAAGATGGAGCTGGGAGAGACAGCCATTAGGATAGCAACACCTAGCATTTGGCAGGCACTTTACAGTTTGTCAAGTACATTTACCTACGTTAGCTCTTTTGATACCCAGAACATTTCAGTAAAGTGAAGAGAACTATCATTTATTGAGTGCCTACTATATGCCAGGCATTGTGCTGGGTGTATTTTTTTTTAAGTATGTTTGAAGTCTGTAGAGTGTTTCATCACCTAGATATGCCATGATTTATAAGGCTCATCTCCTATTTTTAATCATTTAGATATTTTTACTGTAATAATATCACAATCAACATCTTAATATATAAAACTTCATGCATTTTTTATAGTAAATTCCAAGAAGTGGAATTATGGGTCAACAGATACAAATATCCTCCCCTCCCCATAGTTATGATCATTTTATTGATGTACCCTAATGAGAATAATGTTTTTTAATCTTCCTCTTTGGAATTCTGCGATGGAAACACAAGGGCAGCCCCTTATCCCTCCTTTACCCAACAGAGACATTAATAATCTATCATAGCTTTTTTTTAATTGAGGTAATTATAGATTCACATGCAGTTGTAAGAAATAATACAGAGAGATCCTTTGTACATATTATCTACTTTCACCCAATAGTAACATTTTATAAAACGATAGTATAATATCACAGCCAAAATATTGACATTAATAAAATCCACCAGTCTTATTCAGATTTCCCCAGTTTTACTTGTTCTTGTGTATGTATGTATGTATGTTAAGTTCTATGCAGTTTTATTTTCTGTGTAAATTCATATATCTACCCCTACAGTCAAGATAACTGAACAGTTTTCAACACCACAAGGATTCCTCATGTTGCCCTTTTGTAATCATGCCCACCTCACCCCTCCTGAACCCTTGACAACCACTAATCTATCTTCCACTTCTAAAATTTTGTCATTTCAAACATGAAGTCATATACTATACAACTCTTTAGGATTGGCTTTTTTCACTCGGCATAATTCTCTGGAGGTCCATCCCAAGTTTTTGTATGTATCCATGGTTTAGTCCTTTTATTTATATGACAATATGAATGTACCACAGTTTGTTAAGCGTTCACCTGTTAAAGGACACTTTGTACTCTCACTTTGTATTCACTAGCAATTAATGAAGTAGTTCATTTTATGTGGTGTGCTGAGTGTTTCATATTCACAATTATTAAGCTTCTTAACCCTTCAGGCATGCCACTATGATTATATCCATTTTATAGATGAGGAAAATTGAGACTCACAGTAAATGATTTTCTCGCAATTACATGCTGTTAAATGGCAAACAAGAGCCTGGAACCCAAGATAATAGGGCTCTTTCACTACACCGGGCTTTCTCAGACATTGCTTAAGTTGCTGGGAAGAGGGTGTGGGTGGAACCAGAAGAGAGGTGTTGGAGGCAGGAAGAACATTGGAGCAGCCCGGGTCAGTTCAGGTCCTCACTGCTAACTTTGCTTCATAGGTTAGAAGAACATCAGTGTCATGGAGCAGGGGGCAAGATGGCATGTGCCTTTGAAATTGTTTCCCTTTTGCCAGGGAAGAATGGGGCTCAAGTGGATGGAGCCATGAGAAATCTGCCTACAGACCTGGGACCTGGAATGGGAGAGGGAGGATCCAGCCTTTGGGTGTCTATCAGAGAATGAGTAGTCAAGGCTTTCCTTGAAAATGTGAAGTTGAATGTGTCTCTGATGAGGTCTGAGGAAACTGAGGACCATGACAAGTGAGCTGTCTGTTCTGGAGGGGTAAGGGAGATATAGCACTTTTCTTTTGGTGGTAGTGGGGAAACTATAGGTCATTTAGATATACACACACACAAACCTTGGTTAGGCTCAGTGTCTGGGACACAGTACAGAGGGCAAGCAGAGTGGAAGCAGAAATGCTAGTCCAACGCTTATTGCTGACTACCGCTGCTCTTTCCCTCCAACTGAAGTCATGGACAGTTAAGTCAGAAGGAGCTGGAGAAATTGTTTGGTCTGTCCCTCAGCCTTTGGGCACTGGTTGAAGCTGACAGGTGGAAACCTAGAGTTGGCTCGGACGTGATGGATGGTAGAGATGCCAACTTTCAGAAGAGGTTTGGCTCCTCTCCTGGGAGCTGTGTCTGGCCAAAGGCTGCCTCCTCCCACCTCCTGCTGGAACCAGCTCCTTTATAGTTGATGTTACCATTGCTCCTTTGGCCTATTCCAGTGGCTGTGGACTCATAACAATTTTCCCCATCTATTTACGGCTCCAGAACCAGGCTGAGAGCACATATCACTCTTCTCCATCTCCCTTGGCCCATCAGAAATGGCATATCTTCTCGCAGTGGCACCCACCATGCTTACCCAGTAATTCCAGTCATGGGGGATAAACACTGAGGCCTTCAGGATTTATAGGGACTACATTGCATTGTTGAAACAACAAGAGATGTCCATTCTGAATGTCTTTTGGTTGGGAATTCTTAAACAAAGGGAGACCACTCTTTACCAGCTCTTACCCCTACTGAGATTTCCTGACTGTCAGAGGTCCTAAATGTGGCTAAAAGACAGCTACCTTCCACTGGAGTTGGAGCTGGAACCAAGATGGTTGCTTACCAGGAAATCTCAGGACCCCCCACCCCACTTACTCCCTTTCCTTGGCTGCTCCTCTACTCCAGGTCCCCTCCTCTCCTGCCACCACTCCCTTCCCGTTCCTCCTTTCTCTTCTCTCTCTCTCTCAGCAAGTTTTTTATGTGATTACAGGCACTGCATGGTAATTAGTGCTAAACTCATTTGCACAACTACAGTTAATTGGCTACAACAATTAATTAATGTGTTGGAAATTTGGCACTGGAAAAAAAAAGTTTTTCATCAAGAAAAGGGCAAAAAATTGTAGAGTGAGGTACCGGTAAAAATCGAGGGCAGGCTTCAGAAGCTCAGCTGGGCCTCAAACTTCAGGCTGGCTGCAGATGCCTTCCTACTCTCAACTTCAACACATTTTCCTCTTTCATTTTTTTTCCTCTTTCTTTCTTTCACTATTTCTCTTCTCTCTCTCTTTTTTTTTTTTTTTACAACTTAAGCAAACTCATTTCCCTGATAAAATATAGCATGACTAATGGCTAGAGCATGTAAAAATCATTGGGAAAATGTCCTTGGAAGACGAATGCATTTTCAGCAGAATAATTAACTTAATTAACAAATTCACATGCATATTCATCAGGCTATTAATGTCTTCTCGGCTCAGCTTGATGAACATTGCGGTAATAACCATCTCATTTACATACTGCATTCTACTGCGATCCAAAACAGAGACAACATACAGGCGTATATATACACACACACACATACACACACACTTGCATGAATACACACAACATGCCTGGGCTGCTTTGACTTCCAGGTTGGCTGGGAGTGTGTGTGTGAGTGTGTGTGTGTGTGTGTGTGTGTGTGTGAGAGAGAGAGAGGCAGGGGATGTGGGAACGCGACTGGGTGGTGTGATCTTTAGAGGGTCATGAGTGAGGTGGCCTAGGAATGTCCACATGTGGATGTGGATGTCTGAGAGAACTTTAATTTTCTCTCTCT